ACTGAAGGGGGGAAACGGGAAAAAAAATTTTGTAAAGAAAATAAAAAATTATTGAAAGACTGCAAAAAGCACTACTTTTAGTGGGTTTCTAAAGACAAGGTTACTTCTCTAATACTGATTAATGGGGTACAAAAAAAATAGGGAAATCTTAAAACAATAATGGGTATTGGGGTTTTTTGGGGAAAAAAGGGATGGGGGGAGGGAGGATTTTTTGATACATAATTTTTACAAAAGAAAACCCCCGTTTTCCCCCTTTTAAACCCTTCCAGGGGCTAGGGGCTAAAATTGAAGCAATATTTCTCATAAGAAAAAAATGTAAATCCAATTCCCTCCATTCCAACCCCCAAAAAAAATATAAAAAAAATTCATTTTTTAAAACCTTTTTAGGGCCCGGGCCTTAAGGTTTTCCCCAGGGGTTTGAGTTGGGGGGGTCCAAAAAGGTTTGATCTAAGCCCTTTAGCTTTAGCCCTTTCCCTGATAAGCTGTGACGGTAAATTTGGGGGCCCAGATATAGAGAAAACTTTTATGGGATGTGTCACCAAATAAAACAAATTTCCCGCAGCACACACTGCATAATGAGAGAAAATTTTGACTTAATTTTTTAATTTTTAAAAAACGAATTTTTCAGTGTTTTTTTTTGTATGTTTTTATGATGGGATGTAAAAATGGAAATTTTTATTACAGAAATAGAGATGATTTTGATTGGTTTTTGTTCTGGAAATGGGGGTTGAAACTTTAACTCAAAAGTAGGAAAAAAATGTTAAATTTTTTTTCTGATGTTCAAGTTAAAAAATGAACCCCCTTTTTCTAATACACACCAGTGGTGGGTCTACTTTTCTATCCAAATGTGGGGGATTTTTAAATTTTTACAATTTTAAAATTTTGCCCTACCCGAAAATCTTCATTTTTTTTGGTTTTAATAAAATTCATTGTGGGAAAAAAAAATTAAAAAAGGGAAATTTATTTGTAAAGCCTGAAAATGTAAATAATGAACAGAGGAAATTTTTAGTTTAGTGCCAGGAAGCCTGCCCTTGTTTATTCTGGAACCCCCATTTTGAAATTGAACTTTGTGTTTAAAATTTGGCCAAAATTTCCCCAATTTTTTTCACTTTGTTGTTGAAAAAGTTGAATGGCGATTTCTTGTGCTCAATCGATAGAATAGAAAATAATACTAAAATTTTCAACCATTCCTGATTTTTTTTTTTTTTTTAACAAGGGCGGGCCGTTCTCCCACCCAAGGGAGGGTGACCAAAAAAAAAAAGAAAATCCCCCAAAAAAGAAAATACTTTAACATCATTCAACACTTTTTCCCCAATCCCATTATCCTGTTTTTACAGAGGGCTCAGAATACAAAAAAGTTTTGAAGCATATGCATTTAAAAGGGACACCAAAAATATCCCTCCAACTCCAATTTTCCTAAAAAACCCCCCCTTTAAAATGCGGCATTGTACTTCCATTTCCAGGACTCAAAATCCCCCACTATATGAAAAAAAACCGGTTTCCCCCAAAATTCCCCCTTTACAAAAAATTTTCCCCGCTTAAAATTCCAACCGATGTAAAGGGCCCAAGTACCATTGTTTTCCATTCACTCCTATCTAACAAAGCTTTACGCAAGCTTGTGGAAACCCAAACCCCCCGCCCCACAAAACCTCCTTTAACCCCCCTCTCCAACCCTTTCGAGGGGCGACCCCCACCCCGCCTTCCTTCCCCCATAGATTTTTAAAATTTTTTTTATGTCATTCTACTTTGGGCCATTTTTTTTTTAAAATGACCAAACCCCCTCAACAACCCTTCTTTCGCCCCTATGACTAATACCTTTTTCTAAATTTTCCAAAACTCCCAATTTTCTGCATAAAATTTACACCCCACATTTGGCCCCTTTAAAAAGGACATTCCCTGTCTCCCAAACCCCCTCCCCGCTGCTGCATTTAACCCCCCAATTTCACCCAAAATAAGAATTGGGTTTTGGGACTCTATACTTTAAAACATTCCCCTTTTTTGCCTCCAAAGATTTAAAGTTTTTTGACCCCATATATACCCAACCACCAAATCACCTTTTTTCCCTCTTTAATTCTATGATTAACCTCACCTTTCATAAATCCATTTCCCCCGACACGGCAAGTCCAAAGTAAACTGAAAACAAACGTTTTTCCAACCCACCCCCCCCCCAATTTTTATTACTCCTTTTTTTTTTATCTAAATCATTTTTTTAAAACCCATCCCTTACTCTTTTTTATGTTCACTTTTTAAATTTCTACCTTTTTAAAACATTCCCAAACTCATCCCTAACCCCTTTTTCAATTTTTTTTTAGAATCTTTCCCCCTAAGCACAGTTTTCATCACCCAAAAAATAACTGTGTCAATTCCCATTTTGAATTTGATTCCCCATAATTTTAAACCCCCCCCTCTCCTGAAACCCAAAAATTTACTTCCTTTTCAACCCCCATCTGTAAATTTTTTTAAACAACCATGGTTCATTACACATCCCCCTCTAAGACCTAATTTTTCGGGGGAAATAGTCCCCCCTCTCTTCTCACACCCTAACCTGAGCCTCACAAACCTAAAAAAACTCTTTACGCATTTAATAACTTACCACCTAATTTCCTTTTACTTGCAACATCTTGGCCCCAAAATTTTCCCCTATCCCCCTTTAATATGCCTTTTTAAATCCCTTTAAAGCAAAAAAAAAAAACTTCCCTACCTTTATCTAAATAAATGTTCACATAATTTTTTTTTTAAAGTAAACAAATTTTATTTTACACAACCCCCACCCACCTGAAACCCTTTTTGCTCATCCCCAATCCAAAATTTGTCTTTCCTTAAATTTTTTCAATTATAAAACCCCACCGTACATTTTTTGGTTAACTCTTAAAATTATTTCCCCTATAAAATTTTTTCAAAACTTTTCTGTCCCCCCTTTCCCCCTTTTTAAAAGGGACTATACATGCTCTCCCCCAATCCCTAGGAAACCCTTCCCCCCTTTTTACATTTAATTTTAAAAAAAAGTACCAACCACTCCCAAAAACTTTAAACCCCCCCCGCTTTTAAAAATTTCTGTCATGATCCCCCCTTTTCCCCTGCTTTTCCCCCTTTCAATTTTTACATAATTTCCTCCGAATCCCCACACTTGCAATTTTGCTCTTCTTACTTTTTTAAAAAAATGGTTAAACCCCCCTGACCAAATGCATTTAAATTACCGCCTCTCCTCTTTCCTTTAACCCTTTAAAAGTTCCCAAAAAAATTCCGCCAAATTTTCCTAATACCCCCATCCCCATCAAATAAATCCCCCGCTATGTTTTTAAAATGACAAAAAACCCTACTTTCCTAGGCTTTCTTAAATTTTTTTAAATCCAAAAATTTTTTTTTTATTTTCATTAAAATTTTTTGACGTGCCCTCCCCCTCTAAAATCTGCTCTCTTTTGCACTCTCTTCACCTTTCTTTTACTCTCCCCTATACTTTTGCTCTTTTTTAACAATTCGCTTTGTTAAAAAACCCCTCATTTAAACTACCTTTTCTCTTTTTTTCACACCCTTTAAAATTCATCATTCCAACCCCACTTCTCTTTCCTCCTCCCCCCCACCCCCCCTTTAATTCTACAAACTTTGCCCACATTCTTAAAACGCATTTTTAAAAAATATTCCAACCCCCTTCAAACCCCCCCCCCCCCCCCCCTACTCATCTTTGCACTAGCCCAAACCCTTTTTGCCAAAAAGTCGCTTATATTCACCCAACTTTCCCCCTCCCTTAGTTTTTACCTTTTTACCTCCCTCCTTTCTTGTTGTTTTCCAAAACCTTTTTCTTTTCCCATCTACCTTTTTAATCAAAAAGGGAGCTATAAACATGTAAGGCCGGGAGAATTTCCCAAAAACCTTTTATGCACCCAAAAACAAATCTAAAAAAACTACTTTCATTATGTGCTACATCATACTTTGTAATTTAAATTTATCCTCTTTTTCATAAAATATGTATTACTTATTACCAAATCTCTTTCTTCACATAGCTCAATTAAAGGCTCCCCATTTACATTTACCCCTGGCACCCCAAATTTACCTACTATAACATTTTTACCCACTTTAGCATTGAAATCCCCAACCACCATTACTCTCACACCTGATTCAAAACTCCCCATGCATTCACTCAACATTTCTCAAAATCTCTCTCTCCTTTACACTTCTCTCTTCTCCAGGTGCATACACACTTATTATGACCCACTTTTCACACCCAATCTTTATTTTACTCCACATAATCCTTGAATTAATACATTTATAGTCCCTCTTTTCCTGCCATAGCTTATCCTTAAACATTATTGCTACTCCTTCTTTAGCTCTAACTCTATTTGAAACCCCTGACCTAATCTCATTTATTCCTCTCCATTGAAACTCTCCAACCCCCTTCAGCTTTATTTCACTTAAAGCCAGGACATCCAGTTTCTTCTCATTCATAACATCCACAATCATCTCTTTCTTATCATTTACACAACATCCACGCACATTCAGACTTCCCACTTTGACAATTTTCTTCTTATTCTTTTTAGTAATCTTTACAGGAAAAGGGGTTACTAGCCCATTGTTCCCGGCATTTTAGTTGACTTTTACAACACGCATGGCTTATGGAGGAAAGATTCTTATTCCACTTCCCCATGGATATAAAAGGAAAAGTAATAAGACCAAGAACTATTAAGATAAAATCAAAGAAAACTCAGATGAGTGTGTATAAATAAACGTGTACATGTATGTGTAGTGTGACCTAAGTGTTAGTAGAAGTAGCAAGACATACCTGTAATCTTGCATATTTATGAGACAGACAAAAGACACCAGCAATCCTACCATCATGTAAAACAATTACAGGCTTTCATTTTACACTCACTTGGCAGGACGGTAGTATCTCCCTGGGTTGTTGCTGTCTACCAATCTACTACCTGATTATCTTTTACATTGCCTTGTGTGGTATGCATGTCAGTGAAACTGGTATGTATCAGGATGTTTTTTATAGCTGATAAAAATTGTTGCAGATCCCAAAAGATTCAGATCCCCAGAACCCTGACTCTCCCGATTCTAAGAGATCTGCTGGTTTAACTGCAGTGTGGGTTGCCAGGAACCGCTTTGCTGTTATGGACAAAAGTCACCAGGTAAGTCTGAAACAGTAATAGTATAATCAGTTCCTGGCTCAACAGTTAGTAGTAGTTAGAAAGAGGAAGGAATAAACTTTAGGTAGGATTATAGGTTTGAAAGTGTTTAGTAGAGCTGAGATTTTGTTATATTGTATCCCCAAAAGCTTTTAGTTTACATTGCCAGTTTTTTCAGTTGGTAATCAAGAATATGCAGAATGAAGTGACCAAGAAAGTTACCACTCCTCCATGTGATGAAATATTCTATGCTGGCACTGGCATGCTCCTGCTTAGGGACAGTGATGGGGTCTCTCTCTTTGATGTCCAACAGAAAAGGCAAGTACTATTATCACTAGATTTTAGTCCCGTGTTTAGGCATGATTCTCTTAATGCAATGGTAAAGAATAAAAAAGTGCAATACCATGACTGGAACAATACACAAATAACCCATGCGTAGTTTGTCTCCTACATGTGGATTATTTATTTACAGTGGTAAAGTAGTGTTTAACAGTGTCCCTTCCCTTCCAGAGTACTGGGAACTGCTCGCATTGCCAAGTGCCGTTATGTTGTGTGGTCTGCCAGCATGACTACAGTGGCACTACTCTCCAAACATACTATACTCATCTGCAATCGTAAGCTAGAGCGCTTGTGCTCCATCACAGAGACTAACAGAGTCAAGTCTGGTTCCTGGGATGACAGTGGTGTTTTTGTTTATACAACAAGCAACCACATAAAGGTAAAATTTATTAATAAATTTTGTGTATACATATGTATTTAATTTTTGATGACAAATATTTTTATTTATTATTATCACACTGGCCAATTCCCACCAAGGCAGGGTGGCCCGAAAAAGAAAAACTTTCACTATCATTCACTCCATCACTGTCTTGCCAGAAGGGCGCTTTACACTACAGTTTTTAAACTGCAACATTAACACCCCTCCTTCAGAGTGCAGGCACTGTACTTCCCATCTCCAGGACTCAAGTCCAGCCTGCCGGTTTCCCTGAACCCCTTCATAAATGTTACTTTGCTCACACTCCAACAGCACGTCAAGTATTAAAAACCATTTGTCTCCATTCACTCCTATCAAACACGCTCACGCATGCCTGCTGGAAGTCCAAGCCCCTCGCACATAAAACCTCCTTTACCCCCTCCTCCAACCTTTCCTAGGCCGACCCCTACCTCGCCTTCCTCCACTACAGACTGATACACTCTTGAAGTCATCTCTGTTTCGCTCCATTCTCTCTACATGTCCAAACCACCTCAACAACCCTCCTCAGCCTCTGACAACAGTTTTGGTAATCCCGCACCTCCTCCTAACTTCCAAACTACGAATTCTCTGCATTATATTCACACCACACATTGCCCTCAGACATGACATCTCCACTGTCTCCAGCCTTCTCCTCGCTGCAACATTCATCACCCATGCTTCGCACCCATATAAGAGCGTTGGTAAAACTATACTCTCGTACATTCCCCTCTGCCCCCAAGGACAAAGTTCTTTGTCTCCACAGACTCCTAAGTGCACCACTCACCCTTTTTCCCTCATCAATTCTATATGATTCACCTCATCTTTCATAGACCCATCCGCTGACACGTCCACTCCCAAATATCTGAATACATTCACCTCCTCCATACTCTCTCCCTCCAATCTGATATCCAATCTTTCATCACCTAATCTTTTTGTTATCCTCATAACCTTACTCTTTCCTGTATTCACTTTTAGTTTTCTTTTGCACACCCTACCAAATTCATCCACCAATCTCTGCAACTTCTCTTCAGAATCTCCCAAGAGCACCGTGTCATCAGCAAAGAGCAACTGTGACAACTCCCACTTGTGTGATTCTTATCTTTTAACCCACACCTCTTGCCAAGACCCTCGCATTTACTTCTCTTACAACCCCATCTATAAATATATTAAACAACCACGGTGACATCGCACATCCTTGTCTAAGGCCTACTTTTACTGGGAAATAATTTCCCTCTTTCCTAGATACTCTAACTTGAGCCTCACTATCCTCATAAAAACTCTTCACTGCTTTCAGTAACCTACCTCCTACACCATACACCTGCAACATCTGCCACATTGCTCCCCTATCCACCCTGTCATATGCCTTTTCCAAATCCATAAATGCCACAAAGACCTCTTTAGCCTTATCTAAATACTGTTCACTATATGTTTCACGTAAACACCTGGTCCACACAACCCCCTACCTTTTCTAAAGCCTCCTGTTCATCTGCTATCCTATTCTCCATCTTACTCTTAATTCTTTCAATAATAACTCTACCATACACTTTACCAGGTATACTCAACAGACTTCTCCCCCTATAATTTTTGCACTCTCTTTTGTCCCCTTTGCCTTTATACAAAGGAACTATTTATGCTCTCTGCCAATCCCTAGGTACCTTACCCTCTTCCATACATTTATTAAATAATTGCATCAACCACTCCAAAACTATATCCCCACCTGCTTTTAACATTTCTATCTTTATCCCATAAATCCCGGCTGCCTTACCCCCTTTCATTTTACCTACTGCCTCACGAACTTTCCCCACACTCACAACTGGCTCTTCCTCACTCCTACAAGATGTTATTCCTCCTTGCCCTATACACAAAATCACAGCTTCCCTGTCTTCATCAACATTTAACAATTCCTCAAAATATTCCCTCCATCTTCCCAATACCTCTAACTCTCCATTTAATAACTCTCCTCTCCTATTTTTAACTGACAAATCCATTTGTTCTCTAGGCTTCCTTAACTTGTTAATCTCACTCCAAAACTTTTTCTTATTTTCAACAAAATTTGTTGATAACATCTCACCCACTCTCTCATTTGCCAAATATATTTGACTGATATATCTGATTACTTGTAGGTAGTAGGTTGGTACACAGCAGCCGCCCAGGGAGGTACTACCGCCCTGCCAAGTGAGTGTAAAATGAAAGCCTGTAATTGTTTTACATGATGGTAGGATTGCTGGTGTCCTTTTTTCTGTCTCAAACATGCAAGATTTCAGGTACGTCTTGCTACTTCTTACACTTAGGTCACACTACACATACATGTATACAAGCATATATATATACTCACCCCTCTGGGTTTTCTTCTATTTTCTTTCTAGTGCTTGTTCTTGTTTATTTCCTCTTATCTCCATGGGGAAGTGGAACAGAATTCTTCCTCTGTAAGCCATGCGTGTTGTAAGAGGTGACTAAAATGCTGGGAGCAAGGGGCTAGTAACCCCTTCTCCTGTATAAATTACTAAATTTGAAGAGAGAGACTTTTGTTTTCCTTTTTGGG